ATAAGTTTCAGTCTTGCAAAAAGAATGTTTTCCTGTGCAGTTGATCGCTATCATGCATATGAGCACTGAATGCAATTTCAACATTCGGGGATACAAATTCCAAATTGTCCGAAATTATTTTTCTGTACAGTGCAGGGGGAGTCTCACAATTTCCATCAAGAGCCAAATAGTGCTTGAGATGCTCACATTCATTTAAACGGTCTTCATAATTCAGGTGTTTGTGATACATATTAGCCAGATGTTCACTTCTCTTTATTGCATCAGAAGCTATGGTTTTCAACTCACTGAAGAAAGAAAACATACTTTTAATCTGTGAATAAGCCTCTGCACGTTTTGTCAGTTCAAAGATTAGTCTACAGAATAGGGAGGAAAGTTTCCACCTTGAATTTTTCGGTATTCATGAGAAGTACCTCGTCTGCTTATCCATCATATCTTCTAAGACGCACACATTGTTTTCGTTCCCGTTTTTTCCCATCACTATATTCTGTATCTCGACACATACTCATGGCTTTGAATTCATATTCACTAAAGTTGTCACTAGTTTCCTGAAGATAGGTTTTCATAGACTCAAGAAGATTCGTCGCAACAAGGATGTTCACATCCTTTGATTGTAGGACCTTGTTTGTTTTCTTCATTCTTTCTAGCATGTCATTACAAGGAATTGAGAAAGATTGTTTCCAGGGTTTTTTATTTTGTTGCTCAATCCTTCAGCTTCTTGCCTTGTATTCACTTGCTGTTCATTGTCAGCTGATAGAAAATCCAGTGCATGTATTTTCTCGACACTCCCCATACAGAGCATGAACACCATCAAAATGTGCTGATGATCGTGTGTCAGACAGACGCTTAACCACAAAATATTTTCCTAAAGATGATGTCAATACATTCCTGCGATGAGTAGAACAAGCAAAAAATTAATACAGATGCTTAACAAAGTCACAGAATTTTACAGTCTAGTCTTTATCTATTGACAACACTCTGCTGCTTTTACTCCCAGCAATGTTAGGCTGTGTCCAGCACACAGGGAAATAGATGGCAAACTCATTGAGTAGATGAATCCGTGCTTGCAATCCAGTATATCGTCCAGACATATTTGAGGCATTATCTTATGAATGACCACAGCAGTTTGATAGTGGAATTTGTTTCTCATTAAGAAAATCCACGATAGTGTCTGTTAGATCCTTTGCACCGTGAGAAAAGATGGAGATGAACTTAAAAAACGTTAAACAGGCGCACTGTCTTAAATGTATCGACAGTAAATGTCAGTAGATCAGTGTGTGAGATGTCGGGAGTGGAATCTTCACTTATTGAATAATACTTTGTCTCTTTTACTTCTTCAGGAATAGTACAAAGAACCTGTTGTCCCATTATTTTAATTAATTCCTCACAAATATTTGCAGATAAATATGACGGACTCCCTTTTCCAGGGTTTCCATACATTTTGAGACGTTAATCCAAGAAAGGGTCAAATTCACTCAGCATCTCAATAATACCCAATAATCTGCTTTTCTCCAATAAATGACAAACCCCTAGAGACAAGAAAGTGAATTACAGAAACCACACGTGTCAACACTGTATGCCAATATTGTTGCTCTGAGCGATGTTGTTCAAGTAATAAACAATCTGCTATTCCATTTTCTTTATGCCTTATCAAATATACTGTCATGCACTTTCAATGATCTTCAGTTTCAAGTTCTACAAAAACATTGTTGTGCCTTTAGTAAATGAAATAAATGTAGCAGGTAAACTCTTTCTTGGACAATATGCGACAGACAAAGCAGTACAAGCGACCTTGGAATGGTGAGTAGAGTAGCCATTCACGTTTTATATCCTTGTCATTCGTCAGTTCACGTTTGAACACATTGTTTGATAAATACCTTGCATTCATAGTCTCTACTTAGGCTGTTTTTTACCCCTCTGCGTGAGTTTGAAAGGCTGCTATCATGATTTTGACATGATAAGGGCCCACAACGAATTCAGTAATCTATTGTGTTAGTATCATTTATATTTCATAGACCCCAATCTGTCTCTTGGATTGCAAACACCTTTACTGTTACAGATTTGGGTATTTCCTCTTGTAAAATGTCACCAGCAGTAAAAACAGGCAATGGTGGTATGTTTGCTGAAACTGGATGATTGGTAGCAAGAATGGGTATAGATGTGGATGCAATATCTGAAGGAACAGTACTAGTGGTTAACACTGCAGGAGTGGATGCTGTATCTGAAGGGATGGTATGAGTGGCTGTCGTTGCATCTGTGTTGAGCCACGATGTTAGTTTTGGAAGTTTTCCTATTTCTCCTTCTCCTCTGCAGCTCTCTTCCTCTTCTGTGCTCCACTCAAAATATTACGTTTCATTTCTGCTAAAAGGGTTATTCACCTGGAAAAATTTATCTTAAATATTTATTATTTAGAACCACACCGTGATGTAGGTTTATATTATATAAGAGTGCTTGCAGCAATACCGAAATATTTAAACATTCTGCTTCCATAATGAGCATGTCTAATGCTCGTGGGGCCCCCGGCCAAGTGCCCATCGGGTCCATGCGTAAAGACTGCTCTGCTACACTGGCAAGTGACGTCGCAAACCTTCTGCGCACGTCATACTTCCAGCTATAACGTCATTTTTGCACATGACACATTATATACTTGTCGACATCTGGTCCTGTTTTAATTATATTGCTTATATCCTTCTTCTTCTTGATATTAGGTGCAGTTTGCATGAAGGGTTTGTCCTCCCGATGACTGCATCAGTACAGATGTTGGTAGATTCGTTTATGTTGTGGATGATAAGAGTTTCCAAAGTGCTTGTTGCGTTGTGCTGTAGACAGAGGAGCGGCGACTAAAACAGAGGTATATGTTAGAGGGAGACTAGGACACCGTAGGGCGGTATGTTGTGTTTATGGTGTCAGCTGATCCATGGTACTGCGACGAGGCAGTTGTTTTCTGTGTTTAGCTGTTGGTGGCGACAGGTATAAATGTGGCGCGGGTCAGATGTGACTCAATTTGTTGGTCGACTGTAGATATTTAGCCAGTGCTTTGACTATTTGGTATTTTTCCTGTAACGAGTGGTCACCACCACCTAATATATGCTCGATGGTAAAGGGTATTTTAAGTGAAATAAGTACTTGTTTGAGATTTACTCTGGCACTATAATGTCGGAAGCAGTGAAGGAGATGGTGTTCGATTGTTTCAGGCACCTGACAGTGGATGCAGAGTTCGTTGATGTCTGTTCTGTATTTAGAGCTGTGTGCGGCCAGTTTGGTGTGTCCCAGCCTTAATCTGGTCATCGCTATATCAATTTCTCTGCTTTTATATTTGACATGTTTCCAAGTTTCCCATTTCTTTTTAATGGACCCATAGTACAAAGGTGAGCATGACGTTTTCCATTTCGTCGCAAAATCTTGGGTGATGGTATTTTTGAAGGCTCCTTTACGTGCAACATGGGGAATTGGATGACGGGTAATGTGAGGTGTGTTGTGCATTGCTTTGGCTAGTTGATCTACTAGTTCATTATGGAGAATACCACAATTCGCTGGGACCCATTGGATAGAGGTGTCATAACCGTTCAATCGATGTTCATGAAGTTGAAGACATGGGTAAACAAACTCCTTGCACGTTGTTGAAGAGTACGTAATTGCTTGAATCGCACTCTTGGAGTCACTGCAGATTGTATATATCCCAACTGGTAATGTTGTAGGCGCAGCAGACGCATATGCTTGGCAACAATAGTCTAGTTGGCTGCGAATGTAGGTTGTATAGAAACGGAGCAGGATTTAATGGTGTGCTCCCCAGGTGGTGCCAGTGAGGGCTTTCAGTATGGCGAGTCGGGGTTGTGTCGTCTGTTTAAGGTGTTGAATGTGTGCTTTCCAGGTAAGTGAGGGCGAGTCTAAGTGCATGCCAAGGTATTTATGTTCTCGTACGTGTTGGATGGGAGTGTTGTGTATTGTGAGGGTGGGTAGATGAACAAGTCTTTTTTTAGTGAAAATTTGATAATAGGTTTTGATAGTACTAACTTGAAGGCTCCATTGTTGTGTCCAATCGATGAAGTGGTCAAGTGCTGTTTGCATTGTTGAGACTGTATTAGGTAAGGCATTGTCTGAATAATACAGTGTTAAGTCGTCGGCGTACGCCGAGAGGTGATCAGGATGGGTGTTAGGCAAATCTTCTAAGAATGAGGTAAAAAGGGTTTGGCTTAGTATGGAGCCTTGCGGGAAAATTGGGTTTGAGCTGCGGACTGTGAGGCCGCGGAGGACGCTCCCACACCTGGACTACTGCAGCTCCTATAATTAATAGGACATGCTTATATCCACCATAATGCCTCTTCTTTAATATCCAATGGTGGTTTCTTATATTTAAAACGTTTATCTGGATCTTCTGTAGGACCAAGTGAGGAATAACTCCCACTTTGTGGCAGGGCATTTATCAAAAGGCTATATGAGGTTCACAACAGGAGTGACTCGAACCCGCATTCAATTGAATCCCAAACACCTGCCCTAACTGACTCGGCCACGATTGTACAAAACCCGGTCAACCATCGGGCCATAGCCTCAAAATTATTTTAACATGTCATGAACAATGTGATGAAACCAAAAGTTATTTAAGTACTTTCGTGGTAATCGACACATCAATACACAATATAAATAATCAAAATTCTGTATATTACAGTACTATGGAAGGACATATACATGCAAGCATTGTCTCATCATCTCAAGTTTAGGCTCAAAGGAAAGCCCCATTCATCAACAATCCAAATATGCTACAATGGCTGTTGTAGCGTATTTGTGGAAAGAGATAGAGCGAGCAGCATTTTTTATTGTGTAGAGCTTTGAGACAGGCGCATGCGTGGGAAAAACATGGCTTGGAAGCCCGGGGTACCCACCAGCACTCCGTTACCATGGCAACGCCAGCTGGCCATCTCGGGCAGTCATTTTGGGCGACCATCTTGGGCGGCCATCTTGGGCGGCCATCTTGGGCGACCATCTTGGGTGGCCATCTTGGGTGGTCATTTTGGGCGACCATCTTGGGCGGCCATCTTGGGCGGCCATCTTGGGCGACCATCTTGGGTGGCCAACTTGGGTGGCCATCTTGGGTGGTCATTTTGGGCGACCATCTTGGGCGGCCATCTTGGGCGGCCATCTTGGGCGACCATCTTGGGCGACCATCTTGGGTGGCCATCTTGGGTGGTCATTTTGGGCGACCATCTTGGGCGGCCATCTTGGGCGGCCATCTTGGGCGACCATCTTGGGTGGTCATTTTGGGTGGTCATTTTGGGCGACCATCTTGGGCGGCCATCTTGGGCGGCCATCTTGGGCGGCCATCTTGGGTGGTCATTTTGGGCGACCATCTTGGGCGGCCATCTTGGGCGGCCATCTTGGGCGGCCATCTTGGGCGACCATCTTGGGTGGCCATCTTGGGCGACCATCTTCTTGAGATCTTGAGATGATTTCGGGGCTTTTTAGTCTCCCCGCGGCCCGGTCCTCGACCAGGCCTCCACCCCCAGGAAGCAGCCCGTGACAGCTGACTAACTCCCAGGTACCTATTTACTGCTAGGTAACAGGGGCTGATTCAGGGTGAAAGAAACTTTGCCCATATGTTTCTGCCTCGTGCGGGAATCGAACCCGCGCCACAGAATTACGAGTCCTGCGCGCTATCCACCAGGCTACGAGGCCCCCTTCTTGGGTGTTCATTTTCGGCGACCATCTTGGGCGGCCATCTTGGGCGACCATCTTGGGCGGCCATCTTGGGTGGTCATTTTGGGCGACCATCTTGGGCGACCCTCTTGGGCGGCCATCTTGGGCGGCCATCTTGGAGTGCCCTACAGCTGTGGGAGCTCGTCTCTGATTGACTGAGAGGGGTAGGCACTTGTAAGCCTTCCTCTGGTTCGTTTGAGGAGAACCCGGAAAGATGCCGGGAAGACGCTATTCTGCCTCCAGCCGCCGCCCATGCCTGATGCTCCCCTTTGCTCATTCGGCCAAATTGAGTAAAAGGGCGTCGTTGCGGTTGGCTACATACAAGTACAGTAATCCACTCATTCTACAACGAGCCCCCGTGTACCGCAAAATCCAGGAAACCGTCATGAGATTATGGGGAGAGAAACATGGGATGTAATTGGGAAAGAAATCGTTGAAAGTGGATAAAGTAGCATACGAGCAAGCAACAGACTCGTGGGTCCCTATTCCACTGATTAGTCAGACGGTCTGACCACCTGCTAAGTGCTCTGTAGCAGGAGAGTGAAAGGGAAATTGGTGCCAGTGTTCAGGGGCCATTTCCCCATAAAAATTTGTGGGAATTTTTGTGAGACACTAGGCGTGAACGTGCCATCCGTGTATGGATGCACTGTTTCACTGGTGAAGGGGGGGGGGTGTATGAACTGTGCCGTGCGTTTTGTGGAAGGTTATGAAAAATGCACCGAGCCACACGTAATGCCACCACACTGGGCTACTAGCTTAGCCTAGCCGCCGTGATCAACCACCTACAAACAAGGGGCCTGTGTATAGTTGTACACTGGGGTGTGTGCTTGAATGTGCCGGCTGTGTAAATGAGAGTAAATACCTTGTGTGTGTTTTGGTAATTATTATCTCTAAGCCTGAATTCGAGATCAGATGTTCCGCCAGCTTTGTGACCAAGCACATGTGAAGGTGAAGTGAAGTGCGGGTGTCTGAGATTTTCACACTTATTGACATCTTGTCAGTCTCAGTGGCATTGAGTCTGGTGAGGGCAGACATACAGTCCCCGCATGTGTGTGGGTGTGTACACACGGGAACAGATTTTACATAGATTAGCCAAGGACTGTAAGGGCTGTCCTAATATTTTATATTCCACTCTGGTAGAATTTATGGTAATTCATTCTAGGTGATTACCGTGTTCCTTGTGGTGAAATATTTTGCAGGAGTGGAAGTCCAGTACTGGTCATAAGTGCACAGGTAAAGAGTGTCAGTGTGTAATACCAGGGATTTCCTGACATTTGAATATTGTGGAGTGATTCCAGAGTGTGGTTATTTCTCATGTTGTGTTCCCCAGGGATGTGACAAGTGTGATTATATATGTGGTTACGTGGCGGACGTGTTAACGTAATTTTGGTAGATATTAGTGGTGAGTGACGAGGCTGTCTGGAGTGACAGCCGATCGCTCTGTCGAGTAACGTAAATTTTCGGGAGAAATTATCGATCTGTGGGATCTGTAATCACCTACCCAAGATGATTAAGGAGTGTGTGATCTCCTTTGTGTTTTCATTAACGTTTTGATAGCCGAAGGCTGCAGGTGTCAGCAGGTACATGATTATTTATATAATCGTAGTGTCAAGAAGCCTAGTGTGATATTACTGTGGTTATTGCAACGTGTGGGCCTATGTTCTAAGGGGGAATTAGATCAACGAAGGTTATTGCAACAGGTCAGTAAGGTGTTATGCTGTGTTTGAAATATATTTGAAATTAGAACACCTGTTTGTGTGTGATTATTGCAAGGGGGTTGCATTATTAGGCCGTGATTGTTGCTAGTGTATGTATGAACATCAGAGGTCCACGGTTGTTCAACGTCCTACCAGCGAGCATCAGAAATATTGCAGGAACAACCGTGGACATCTTCAAGAGGAAATTAGATTGTTTCCTTCAAAGAGTGCCGGACCAACCGGGCTGTGGTGGATATGTGGGCCTGCGGGCCGCTCCAAGCAACAGCCTGGTGGACCAAACTCTCACAAGTCAAGTCTGGCCTCGGGCCGGGCTTGGGGAGTAGAAGAACTCCCAGAACCCCATCAACCAGGTATCAACCAGTGTTGATCAATCACCGTGTGTGTGTTATTGCAGTTCAGTAAATCGTATGGGCGGTGTTCTAGTGGGCTAGAGCAATGTTATTTACTGGTGTTCTGCAGTAATTGTAATTGTCCTGGTGGACATCAAAGTCCAGTATTCATTGAGGTGATTGCGAGGCAATTAATGTAACATAACCAAGGGAACGCCGATTGCTTATGAGAAATTGTTCTATAACAATTTGATTAACATAAGATGCGTTTGGGTTAATTATTTTCCTATGAACAGCTGTGTTAGTCTCTCAGGGAGCCTAGCCATTACCAGACAAAGAATTGTAGAATTTCAGGGGAAGGCTGAATTTTATTCTTAATATTGTCTGTTGCAAATTATCGGTCAAGGGACAGGTAATTAACGGGTTCAAGGAAGTCAAGGTAATTAACTTCGATCAGGGTTGATCGACTAACACGAAGGCTCCATTGTTTCGTTAATGTACCATCGGTTATTGATCTGTCAGCAGACAGGTAATATGATTGACTCGTGTGAAGAGAAACGTCATTGCAAAATAACGTAGACATGGTGATTAATTATCAGTTTGTGGGATCGTGTATTAGTCATATGAATCCGTCGTGGTATGCAAGACCCAGACGGAGTTCATATTTTTAATGTTAATCGCTGAGCCAGTGTGAAAGGTAACGTATTTATGTATTAATTAATTATTGATCTTCAGGATAGTAATTATTTGCTCGAGGGTAGTCAAGGGTGATTGCCGTTCTCTTAGCACTTTGGACATTATGATTGGAGTAAACTATCGTTGGGCGATAGTAACCGATAACATAACTCGTACAGGTATTAATCAGCTGTCTGGAAGAACAAGTGACAGTTGTACAGTTTGATGTCTGTGGGAGACAAGATTAAGTTAACATAAATGTTACTTTGATATTAACGAAAATCAATTTGCTATTGAATGTTGATCGTCCAAGGGACGAAGTGTGAAAGTAAGAATTTAATGGAGGAGGTTTGCTGGAGTTGCCAGTAACCCCTATTAATCATTGTCATGTCATTGATAGGCTACTAATTTGATTGCTTCCAAACGCCATTGCAGCGAGGCCTGCAAGAAGCGTAGGGAACTGATAGGAGGTTATTGGAGGCGTGTCTCCAAACCTACCTTGTGTTTTTGCATTGTGATTATAGATTAGTATGTCTTGCTTGCTTGATTGATTCCTCTGTGTTCACCCAGTATTTTCAAGTTAGTTCATGTTGCAGCACTCGTGGCTGGTGTCTAGCTGTTAGTGAACGTGTAACAGGAAGGATTTCGAGTAAAGTCATTGATATTTCTTTCGTTGTTGCAGTAGTTAGTACTTTATTGCATAAACTATGTTGTTATATTGCACACTGTCCTTTCGTTACACCCCACACATTTTATTGATATACATATGTTCTGCCACTCAACTGTTAAATTGAGACTGCTTCATGAACAGTCTCACTTCATAGCACCACAGAACAATAATTTTTGTTGTGAGAGCCCAGGACCAACTCGTTAGATTCGCTCCGGCGAAAGACGAAGGTCAACGGCCTAAGTGGAGGGGATTTCAAACTTTTGAGGTCTCGGCGTTTGCTCACACCTAGTTACTTGTTCTTATATGGTCCCCAGAGTGAGGAATGAGCTGCTTACTACACTGGTGTGTTAACTAAGCAAGTCCTTTCTCAGGCGTACCATCTAGACTTTCAAGTAAAGTCGACGGATGTAATATTAGAATATCACGACAGGAATAAAGTTAAAGGAATTAAAAATATTTTTTTTATAAATTATCCATACATTTCCCAGTCAATTCCAAAATTCCAAACTCTCACATCATGATACACCATTCCACTTTCAAATAAAATTGATCCTCCAGAGCTGAAATTAAGAGTTAGATTGCTTCTAATACAAAACGGGAAATTTGGACACTTGAAGCTTTTCCTGACCTTCACTTTATATCAGACAAGTGTAACTTTTGGAAAAAAAGTATTTATTGCAAATTTTTTTCACTGGTATATTAAACTTTATCATGATGGCCAGAATAGTATTTTTGCTCATTCTATAAGCTTCTGTGGTTGTGATAAATTATGTATAATACCAGGCGTAAATTTTGTTGGCAGGTTACACAGCCATCCAGACAGCAGCCATAATGGGACACAATGACCTGGTGAAGAACCTTGCCAGCGCCGGAGCAGACATAAACGATCACACTAAACTGGAAGCTTCAGATGCTGTTTTAGACGGTAAGAACTTCGGTTATGTCACACAATATATCATAGCTATAACAGTGCACATAACATCACACAATATATCATAGCTATAACAGTGCACATAACATCACACAATATATCATAGCTATAACAGTGCGCATAACATCACACAATATATCATAGCTATAACAGTGCACATAACATCACACAATATATCATAGCTATAACAGTGCACATAACATCACACAATATATCATAGCTATAACAGTGCGTATAACATCACACAATATATCATAGCTATAACAGTGCACATAACATCACACAATATATCATAGCTATAACAGTGCACATAACATCACACAATATATCATAGCTATAACAGTGCACATAACATCACACATATTGTTAAAAAATATAGATACACAAGGATTCTGTACGTTACTGGTGT